TGACACACATGATGTGTAACTACTCAAAATGGCTGTCAAAAGATTCGGAATTCCCTCGAATAATGGTGGACATGAATGAGTAGCTGCTCCTCTAACATGATACTTTGCTACGGAATCACTGTGCATATATGAATCTTGACTTGCACATCTCTGTTCAATTTTTTTTAATTAAAAAAATTAAAATTAAAAAATTAAAATTCTCAAAAGTGATTCTCTCAACTCGCAAACGTCTTTCGCCGAACATTTGGCCGCTCTTGGCGCTTATGTAAGACGCTTACATAAGGGTGCTGGAACTAAGTGATTTGTATCTTATCCTAATCGTAACGTAGCGGGGTTTTCGAATAGGGCCTAAATGATTTCGCAGGAAGCTTCTGGATCATGTGACTATATTCAGCAGCCCCCGGGTAGTAAACTTCGGGGAGGGTTAGTTCCTCACTCGATCATCACGTCACTGTACACCCTCTCCCGATCCGTAACAAATCCACGTATCTCATCTACCCACCATCTCTCATGACCATAGCAGGGTTAAGATACCACGCCTTTGCCCACACGACAACACCACGGAGCGCAGGTGGGTGGAAGCAGCATTTCAAACTGCACAGCCGCTTCGATGGTACTTCACTTTCTTGAAAAGAAATCTCTACCACGCCCGACGGGAATATCTTCCATAAATTTTGCCGCGTTTAAAAATCCACAATGACTGCCCGCAATCCCAACAGTGCCCAAGATCATGACTTACAGGGCACAGGACCTTTGGATGGACGATGCGGTTTAAGTATGCCGGCGAACACAACTAAAACGTCAGTCGTGTAGTGCGTCTGGCTTCGTCTTCCGATTTAAGACCCAATTACTTGCAAATATGTTTTATTCAGGTGGGGTGCCCACCAAGACTGTGAGGTTTATAGGCCAGGTGCGTTCTTTTGCGTATTTGCTCTTCCATTTTCTTGTCGCACTTCCTTAGTAAAAGAATGCCAAGACCACCAGTCGACGCGACACCGCATGCATCTGGTATCCGGCATGGAGACGCGCACCCTATGGAATGCTTTGGTTGGCTCATTAGTCAGATATCATTTACAGGGAATTGCCTTTTTGTATTTGTGTTCATCTGACTTAGGAAATGCAAATGGAGTCTAAACCACAGATTATGGTGAATTCAAACCTTGCTTTTTGTATAACTTGCCATAGTGGTCTTCGGAACTGATGCCTTCATAGTTTGTTTGTGACTTATGGCTGTCAAAGCGGCCACGCGGAGCTTGAAGCTGTTCTTGACGAAACTGTAAGCTAGATAGATTACCCGCATACGGTCGGGCCAAAAAAGAAGAAACGGGGCTCTCAACTATGTGGCACCCAAATACGCTGGAAGTCATAAGTAAGTTACGGTCGGTGCTGGATACTGTTGTATCGGTTTTCCGTTTTCTACTAGTCTGCTCTACCAACTCTCTTACCTCGCAAAGGCGGTAGGTGGAGTTAAGCAACGTCCAGGATAGCAGCTCCGATTGAGAACTATAGAATCCTGACGTGGTATAGTTAAAGCTCGGCTGCAGCGCCGTACAAGGGTATCCTGATCAGAGTGATAATCTACAGTGAATCTCAGAAGACCTGTCCAATGGACTTACAGTGGTCTGCACGTCAACAAGCAGATTTAATGCTTACGTCTCGGCTCTTGAACGCCCGCGCCCCCCGATGACATAGAGATGCTTATGCTCTCTCCCCATTCCTCCTTCAACTAGCATAAGCATATAACGCATTGAAGAGCGAGTTGAAATTGATTCCAGAGGTAATCAATGGTAGAACCATGCGTTAGCTTGCACTGCTGATCTTAGTTATTTCCTCTTTTCCTGTCTTAGATGATAATTGTGGCGTACGTTGCCCGCAAAGAGGACGTGCGTACGTTTTGGAAGGCCCGCGGGACATCCAATGTCCCGGGCCGCCATGATGAATAGTTCACCAGGGCTCCCGGACGGTTTTGCTCTCTCTGGATATATAAAAGGTGGTTCTGACTGCCAAGGGTCACACAGACACCATTCCTTCTAGATGACATTCGCCGACATTACTCAGTCCGCTCTCGCACTTGTTGCAGTATTAACTGTTTGGAAATTACTCCACCGTTTCGTCGCGAAGGGCAACCTCGATAATATCCCTGGCCCACCGTCAAGCTCGTTTATCAAAGGTAGATTATTCCCCCCTCCGTTGACTCGGAAGCATAATTATTTCTGGCTTTCGAGGCAACATCGGTGAACTCTTCAACGTTAATGGCTGGGGATTCCACCAAAAAATCAGAGATCAATGTGCGTAAGATAATCTCTGCCTGGATACTAACCAATTCTCTCGCAGTTGGACGGATTGCCTTGATTTATGGTGTATTTGGAGTAGGTTCATCATGGTAATTAATGAGCGTTGTATTGAAATTATTTTCTTCTAGGCCAAGCAGCTCTACATCTCTGATCCGAAGGCTTTGCATCACATTCTTGTCAAGGTGCGGGCACACTGCACCGAAGTAGTCCAGATATTCAATATTCACATAGGACCAAGATGTATTCGACCACCCAGAAAGCTCCTTTGCGTATGTGAAACACTTGTCAGATATGCTCGCTGATTCGCAAAATTGTGATTAGAACTTTCTCACTGGTTTTTGGAGTGGGGTTTTTTAGTACACAGGGTATGCTTTAAATTTATTCAAACATAATTTCTTCTGTTTTAACTAGCTGCATCAAGACGATGAGCACCGCAAGCATGGGAAAATGATGAATCCCGTGTTCTCGGTTTCTCACCTGCGCAACATGCGTAAGATAAAAGCCGTAGTTAACACTTTCTAGACGCTGATATAATTTGGCAGTCCCTATTTTCTACGAGATCACGAACAAGGTCAGCCTGATCCTCTGACCAATTTTCCATTATTTAAATTTTACGTTGCTCCAGGTTCATGTGGCGATCAGGAAAGACCTTGTCGACGGTCCTCGCGAGGTATGCACCCGCCTAAAACTTTGCTCGTCGGCATTCAATTATATATTTTCTTCAGATCAATATCTTGCGATGGATGACTCGGGCTGCACTTGAAATGGTTGGCCAGACTGGCCTCGGGTATTCTTTCGACTCGCTCTCCGACGAAGAGTCGGAAAATGATTATACAAAGTCCGTGAAGGAGTTGGCGTGAGTTCATCATAAATCTAATGCTATCTTCTTGAACTAAATTCCTCTCGAGCTCCATGCTCCAGGAGTTCAAATTTTCTGTAGAATTTTTACTTGCAACCCTTATCAAGATGGGAACGCCCAAGCTCCGGAGGGCATTGTTAGATTTGGTGCCTTCGAAGAAGATGAAAAAGCTCATAAGAATCGTCGACATCTTGGACAAAACATCTAACGAAATTTTAGACGGTAAAACACAGGCGTTGGAAAAAGGAGACGAGGCCGTTGAGCAGCAAGTTGGCCAGGGAAAGGATATCATCAGCATTTTGAGTAAATTGCGCTCCAGTGAACACTGCACAGCAAAAGTGATCTAATAAACTTTTTCCAGTGAATGCAAACATGGCCGCCTCGGAGCGCGATCGCTTGGAGAAGAAGGAGGTTTTAGGACAGTTGATGACCCCTCCAGCCCTCTTCAAGTTCCCGACTAACTTTTTCCATCGCATAGATGACGTACGTTGGCCTCTAAGTTACGTCGTCGAAGATTAAATGTGTTTAATTTGAAAGGGGCCTAATTTTCGCCGCCATGGACACGACGTCCAATGCTCTCTCGCGTACCCTTTTCATTCTGTCACAGCACCCAGAGGCCCAGGAGAAGCTTCGTCAAGAAATTCGGGAGGCACGCGAACAGTACGGAGAAATCCCACATGACGAACTCGTGGCGCTGCCATATCTTGATGCCATCTGCCGTGAAACGCTGCGACTGTAAGTCACCAAATGGTACTCATGCCGCACGTGCAAATAATTGTTTTTTTTCTCGCCTTAGATATCCACCGGTCTCGGTTATAGCCAGGCAGTCTGTATAGTTTTCGTGTTCGTGATATAGTACTGAATGCGCGATAATCTAGGTCTAGAAAGGATACCGTCTTGCCCTTGTCGGCGCCAATCAAAGGTCGTGACGGGAACGAGATACAAGAGATCGCTATTCCAAAGAACACTCAGGTTCTGATTTCAATCTTGAACACGAACAGAGACCCCACCCTTTGGGGGCCCGATGTGCTGGAATGGAAGCCTGAGCGATGGCTATCTCCTCTGCCCGAAACAATCTTAGAGGCCCGGGTCCCGGGAGTTTACTCTAATCTGTTGGTGTGATTTTCTTCACCGCGCTCAAATATTTGACGTCAGTTGCTTTGCAGAATGACCTTCAACGGTGGAGGGCGCTCGTGCATGTGAGTTACCGTGGTAAATCAGTCCCGTTCTTCCGTTATTCATATATCTTTAGCGGCTTCAAGTTCTCACAGCTGGAAATGAGTATGTATATTTTCATCAAGCCCAACCGTGACTGACCCGCTCTTTCGCTATCTCAGAGGTCGTCTTATCGGTCATGATCGACAATTTCCGGTTCTCGCCTGGAAAGGAGGAGGTTTTCTGGGAGATGAGTGGGATTACTATTCCGACCTTGGAGGGAAAACCTGGAAAGCCAGTTTTACCACTCAAAATGGAGTTGATGGCTTGACTTTACTTTTCATATCCGATTTGTCATGGAACACTATTATGCAGTGAATGAAATAGCTTATAAGGTTGACACACGACACTCTCTCGGGTTTCGAGGGACCGCAACTGCGCCGCTTATTGTCTGCAATCTGCCTTGTTGGCACGCACTCGCACGCGATCTTCAAGTTACGTGGCGTCCCGCTTCGCGGCCTGCTTTGTTCTCGGTTGCCTCCATCAACGTCTCTCGAATGAATATTCAATCTCAATCACACTCTACTGTGCGCACAGTATCAGTACTTGACTTGAATATCTTTTACCGAACGAGTGGCGTTCTATTCGCATAGACGGCCAAGTGAAGCAAGTTAATATGAGAGATAAAAATATGCCACGTACCCGGATTGAACGAGTGACCTTCTCATTGCATATAAATACCGGAAGTATACAAGTGAGACGCGCTACCACTACGCCAACGCGGCATGTCGTCAATACGCAAGTGTGGCGCAGTGCCAGCCGGTGAGCAGATACAGGCCCTGAATCGTTCCAATGCGCACTGGGTCTGTAATAAATATAAAAATGCCGGGGTGACTTGCGAGTAACTTAGTAAGTCGTGGTTGTAGTTCACACTGGCTGGGACTGAGCACAGGTTGTTACCTCTGTTCATCGGTCACAGCTGCAGGTCTCGCCGTTATATTATCAATGGTAAGAGCGGTTCCGATGTGAATGTGGAATAAAACACGACGCACTGTGTGATGAACTAAGCTTAATACCTCAGTATCCGATGATCGTCTTGCGATAAGTATGAGCATGCGTACGCAGAGGGGGCACGGATCAGGGAAAATGATATCATTCCAGAGTCCGCGGGAAACGGGATAGTCGCTATCATCATGTATGGTATTCGTTTCGCGTCGTGTGGCACAGCCATGGCGTGTTGTCCGCACTTGACTGGAGGTGCACAACTAGCCGGGGTGCGCTGTGGGCACTTATTAACGTGAGGAGGATGCCGCACGCGTGGACCTTGGACCTGGGGTGGAGAGTCAACTGGGCAGACGCACGCGGTGAGTGGCGGAGTAGGCATACGATCCAGAGAGGACGTACGTAGGACGACTGAGCCTTCCCGATCATTCGTCGTGTCATGACTCCAACCGACTAACCGCCCTCAGCAAGCCAGCTCCTCAACTACCTGACGAGCCTCTTGGCAGCGGCCTCAAGCGGACTCGTGCTGGAGGAGAGCACTAGCGCGTCGGCGCGCGGGGAGAAGGTGACGGCGAGGAGGTGGAACGGGGTCGGGATGGGCAAAGGGGTGGATGACAGCGAAGGCTGTTTCGTGACTTGATTTGGAGGAGAAGAGGGACGCAAGGAAGGATGTGGATGTGAGCGATCGCACGCAAGGACGCCGTCGATGCGTTGCTCGGAGTCCGTGCGGGCTACTTCTTGCCATTGCTGCTACCTTGAGAGACCGCAAGTGGTGGGTTCGGCGGTGTGCTTTCACAGAAAGAGCCAGTACAGATACCTTGGATGCTGTGCGAGGTCGAACAGGTCGCGCTAGGCCCCTGGGCGGGAGGCGTGGATCAGTCGCATTGGCCTACATAAACGTCCTCAAGGAGTGCGATAGATCTCTCCGTTTCTCACTGGAACAGCGTGAGCGGTGTGGCGGCAGAATCAGCGACGAGCTCAGGGAAGGGATCGTAACTTGATTAGTCTTTTTTTTTTTTTTTTTTTTTTTTAAACCAGTTTATATAGCGCATTTAAGTACACGTGGACTACGGGCGCTGTAGGGGAGAGTATGTATGTGGTGCCTTTGTGGGGCTGGTGGGAATTGAACGATTGTGTGGGTATGGGGGGTG